CTAATCAAACAAAACAATAACGAATTGTAAAAAATCACACCCTTTTTCGCGCAAATAATTGTTTTGAAAAAGGATTTTTTCAATTTAAGTGACAGTATTGATTAGGGATTATTTTATTTTTTCAGAGTCACCACTTGGAATGGAGTTATGGTGTTCCATGTCACCTTTTCTTTTTAATCCCTAATTAAAAGGATATGACTCTTTATATGGTCTGCGAAAATAAAAGTTCGGGTAAGGAATTATGTTTACCGAGGGGAAGGTATTAGGCATCCCTAGTCTCGTGATTTTAGCACGATCGCTTTTATTAACTTATACTTGACTTATATTAATATCATTATTATTTGGATAAATTGTGTTATAGGCCATGATTTGCTCATATTTTTATTTTTTGAATTTTACTAATCATTAAACAAGATGGATAACTACATTCTCGATTTTGACATACAATTACTTAGGCATAACTGCTTTCTTTTCTTAATCGTGTCACCTTAATATTTTGGTCTAAATTTTTTAATTTACATTAAATCAAAATTAATATGATTATGATCATTTGGCCAAAGTGCATCACTGCATCCGAATTTTTTTTTTTTTTAAATGTCTAAAAAAGATGTGAAACCACATTCTTTACTGAAACCTTATTGTTATTTATTGGTCTTTTTTAAAATAAAATAAAATTATACTTATACTTACATTTATTGGTCAAAGATGCAGTAATCAATTTAAAAGCTATAAGTTTTAGGTTTAGGTCAAAGATAATCTAGACTGCTAGAATAGAACTGCATTAGTTTCTAAGTAGCATTTTTATCAAAAGTTGAAGATCCAACTTTAAAAAAATAAAATATTATAGCATGTTCTCTCAATCATAAAGAAATCCATCTATTGAATTATGCAAATAACTTGATTCAAACACCATTAAATATAAACACCAACTAACACGAAAATAAAAATACGATTTAACATCTATTCCTATTAAATATGCAACACCCCATTTGTTTCCTCATTCATTGGAGTCAAACTTTCAATAATTAAAAAAAAATTAACATATGTCTCAGAAAATAACGCATATGTCATTAATCATCTAAAAATGTTTATAACAGAATATTTCTTGAATAACTTTTTTTTTTATCATAAACACAACGTTCTCTTTTTTTTTTTATCATTATCAAAATTAGTCCAAATCCCTAGAAAAAAAAGTATTTACAACCCCAGATGCGTCATTTCGATTTCTATTAACAAATTATAATCATAATCACGAAAAGAAAATAAATAAAAAATAATGATAATAACATAAAACAATGGCTAAGTAAATAAGTGAATTCAAAATTAGATAAAATAAAGAAATCAACACATTATTACTTTGTCTTGATTGATTAATGATCATAGAATCACAATTAGGGGTGTGCATCGGTCGGTTTGGTTTGATTTTATGTATTATTGGTTCGGTTTATCAGTTTTCAGTTTTTAAATATGTTAAACCAATAATCAAACCAATAAGATATTTTTTATTGGTTTATCGGTTTTGGTCCTTAATTGTTGATTTTCGGTTTAACCAATAAGAAAATACTTATAAAATAAATATATGACTTTTCTAATAAATTTGATGCAAAAACACAATAATGTAACTTTACAAATGCAAATGAAAACAATAATAAAAAACATGAAAAGAACTATACAAGTGTAACACAAAGAGAAATTAAGAAGAATAGAGTTCTTACTTTAGATTTTAACGTTTTGTATAATGTGAAATTGTGAACTCAAAGTCATTGTGAGATGTGAATTAAAGGCTAAAGGACAAAGATAGTAACTAGTAAGATATTGAGATTAATATATAATATTTATGTATAAGTAAAATAGTAAATTACTAGTCTTAATGGGTTATCGGTTTACCCAATAACCCAATATTAAAAATCAATACCAAATCGATAACCCAATAATTTTTTTTATAAAACCATTAAAAAATCGTTAACCCAATACCCAAATAACAATAAACCAATAACACTTTTATCGGTTCGGTTTATCGATCGGTTCGATTTTTACACACCCCTAATAACAAAAGCAATCACTACTTTGTCTTGATTGAGTAATGACTCAATAAACTAAACTTATATAAATATAAAATAACAAACAAAAAATAAAAGAAACGAACCTTCAAAGGTATGCAAACTAGCTGCTCTGTAAACGAAAATCTCAATCTCAACTTCCTGCTCAATTGAATTATTTTTTAATCTTGCTCTAACCTTTTCTCTCTGCCCCTGTTCTTTTTTTCTCTACTGTACACTGCTTTTTATAATTTTTTTGGTGTGAGTTTGGTGCTAATTAAAAGGAACTTGAGAAAGTGGGGAATATAATTTAGTTGAAAATTTTATGGCTATTTGGTTGAGAGTTTTGAGGAGCAGAAAAAAAAAACAAAAAAGAAAAGAAATAAGAACAATAATAAAAAAAAAAATTAAAAAAACGTGTGGATGGGAGTATAAAATATTTTAAGGGTATTTAATTGAGTATTTTAGGAGCAGAAAAATAGAAAAGAAAAGTAATAAAATAAGAAATAAAACAATAAAAAAAAAACGTGTGAATGGGAGGAGTTCAAGTGAAACAAGTTCAGTCAAAAATCACGTGTCTACACCGCTTTGACATCTGTTAGTGTTTAGATTCCATCTTATTAGATTGTTTTTACCTTTCTTGCTTAGTCGGCGGCCTTTGATGCCTACTGAGTACCTTGTTTTGGTAATTATTCTATACTTTGCATCTTTTTCGTGATGCAGGTCCTAATACCAGTTACCAACGATGATCATTCGTGCCAACTTTTGCAGCTTGTAGACATCGGAGACGAGGGTGAGCAATTGGCGTCCAGGACCAACCTGTCTCCTTCTGTACTTATATAACTAGTCTTTTGCCCTTGAGACGGCTTGTTGTGGTTCACTTTTGCGACTTGTATATGTTCTTACTAGATAGCTCTGTACTCGTGACTTCCAGATTCTGGGAAAGTTTCTATTGTATATAATTTTTGCTTGATTTTATCTCTGTCTTTTCTTGTTGATAATTATTTTCTATTTAGATCTGCCCTTCTATTCATTATTTAACGTTCTGGATATACCAATTGGCTTACCTTCTGGTGAATTATCATAGATGTCATTATGACTTGAGCTATCGGATCATGACAATTATGCATATCTTGTACATAGTTTCCTTGATGGAAGGAGACACATTTTATTAGGAGTTCCTAGCAACCGTATTTTATAGAGAAGTTCCTAGAGTTAAAGTTGTTTTTTACTTTCAAGTCTATCTATATACACGTCTGTAACTCTAACTCCATAAATTACATCATTTTTTCTGATAGATAAGTTAGAAGATTCTTTGGGTTCCTTTATATTAATTAAAGACTATAGTTTTAAGTCAGATTTTATTATTTTAACTTTATATTGTATTTTTTCATGATCAAAGGCAAATATAATTATCTAAACACTTGAACAACTATAGTCAAATGTTTTATTATTCTAACTTTATATTGTATGCTATTATTTTTTTATGATTAAAGGTAAATATAATCTCTACATTAATATCCGGTTAATGCTAAATGACCAGAAAATTTGGCCAGAATTTGGTCAGAAATTTATAAAGTCTATAATATTCTTTTATTTTAAAATAAACTGATTTTTTTTCATTTTTTAATAAAATGATATTAATATTAAGAGAATAAAAATATTAAAAGATAAAATAACATAATATGAAATATGTTATTTTACGACGAGAGAGAGTTGCTCGAATGATAAGCACCCCTCACTTTCAACCTGAAGATTACAAATTCAAGTCACCAAAAAACAAAAAGGGATGAAAACTCCTAAAAAAAATAAAAGAAAAATGTTATTTTACCATTCTGACCAAAAGATTTTTCCTTAATATCCACTGTTACGGCTTTGTGAGTACATATTCTAATTTCAACATAATATGAAAAAGATTTTTCGGTGTGAATAAAATTAAAAAAGGACAAACCAAAGAAAGTTGGATGATGACTGTTATGTTTTCATAAACTCAACTTGTTTGCTGACAAAGAGGCTGCCTTTTTACTGGCCTACACGTACTTCCACTCAAGATTCTCTATTGGGACTTGATTTTATGCTAAATAATAAAAGTAAATGAAGTTCATATCTCGGAAATTCATAAAACTAAGAAGGAAATATACTCTTTTTTTTTAGAGGAATAACAGCAATTTTATACTCACTCCGTTCACTTTTAGTTGACATAGTTTTCTTTTTTTAGTTAAACTATAAGAATTTTGACTAATATTTTACGATACAGTTTTTCATCATATTCATATGCAAAAAATTGCTACTGATAGTACTTTTTGTATAGTTGTTGAATATCTAAATTTTTTGTTTAAAATATCGAATTAATATAATTTAAGTTAACTTTGAAAATAAGTCAAATTGACTTTCGAAAAATTCAACATGACAATTAAAAGTGGACAAATAGAATACATGTAAACGAATTTGCTTTGACCAATTTGTTAGGAGAAAGAAAAATAATATTCCTTCTTCCTCAATTTATATGATTTATTCTTTTTTAGTGGATCCGTCTCACAAAGAGTGATATATTTTTATATTTAATAATACTTTAACTTTAAAATATCAATTTTATCCTTAGTAAAATATATAATTTATAGTTATATACAAATATCTATAAGTTATTATAAATCACAAATTTCAAAAGTTTTTCTTTCTTATACTTCGTATCAAGTCAAACTAAGTTAGACAACTTGAGACGGAGATAATATACTACTAATAGCTATTAATAGTAGTGTGGAAGTGAAGAAGTAAAGAGTATATATATATTATATATAAAAGATAAAGTTGTAAGAAAAGTAGTAGAGATTGGTGGTTATTATTAGCTAAAGACAAAAAGCAACAAAAAAAAAGTGGCATGCATTTTGTTGCACAGAGACATGTGCATGCCTTTTGTAGTACGTACGTAATTAATAAGCAGTAGTAGAGTTATAGATATATATCAATCAGCAGACCTTCTACGTCCACCACTGCCAGTCTCTCTTTGACAATTAAAGTAGACAGCAGCAACAGGTAAACCAAGATTATAGAGTTCAGCAAAATCTCTTGTATTGAAATTCTGACGCCATCCTGGAGCATACACTGTTTGTCGACCTAATTGTCTGAACAATACAAATACAAATCGATGTATTCCCATTGATGGTCTTGGACTTTCATAGCTCACTATTTCTTGCCCTACAAAGTACATATAAACAACCAACCTCACTTTCATACACTAGCTAATTATAGATAGTATATATGTTTGAAGTATCTATTTTCCATGCATTTCAAGTGACTACATATGTAGATATATATCCAACCTACTTCCTCCATTTCAAAAACAAATCATCATCACATGTTTTCACTTTTAATTTGAATTTTGTGGTATTAAATTAAAGTTATGTTAAATATATGTACCAAAATGTTTTTTTATCTTCTGATCTTAAACCAAACGAAAGTGGGTCATTCTTTTTTAAACAATTGAAAAGGTATACAAATATACAATAACTATTATGGTGTTTTATCACAATATATCTATGTCAACTGTTGTATGCTCTTAGGTTTTAGGAATTGATTTGGAGAATAAGAAATTAATGATGAGCATGAAACAGAAAAAAATATATATCATATTTTCTTAATATGTTAAAAAAAATCATAAATAAAAATGGAAATTTATTTTTGGAATATAGGACGAAGAAAAGTAAATGGGGAAACACATATGGCAGAGCCCAAGTCTCCTAAACCTTTGGTCAGTTAAAAATGTTTTCTTTTTTCTTTTTTCAAAAAATGTTTATTTTAAAAAATAAAGGTATTTGACTAAACTTTTGAGAGAAAATAAGTGTTTATGAAGAGTAACAGAAGTGTGTTTTTGAAAAGCATTTTTGAAAGAAAAAAAAAGAACACTCTTTTAAATTTATCTTATTCTAAAAATTTAGCCAAATAGGTACGTAATCTTTTAATGTTATGTATACAATAGATTTACGATTTAGAGTCTAGTACTTAAGAACTTTTGGGGTAATCGTGCTAGTGTGGGACATAATTAAAGGATTTTAATTGTTAGCATATCTTTTAGGAATGCTTAATAGGGCACCTCAATCACGTTTGAGAATAGATTTCATTCCCTTCCCTAGGTTTTAAAAGTCTAGGACAAACATGATTTAACGCAACATTGCCCACTCAATAGAAATTCCTTTTATCATTACTCCGTTAGTTTCATATTATTTGTCTATACTATTATAAACATATATATTTCAAATTATTTGTCAATTTTTAAATAAGATAATGATTTTTTAAAAAAAAATTCCTTTAAAATTAGTTCTTTTTAAAAAAATGTAAACAATATTGATCACCTTCATACATATATAGCGTAAAGTTTCAAAAAAATTCTTCTTATTAATTTTTTTCATGTGTCAAAAGAATGCATTAATTTTCTAAATAAGAACAAAAACAGAGTGTATTAAAAAGAGTAAATAATCGAAAATATGGGAAGACAAGAAACAAACAATTAACAAAAAGAGGATTCTCACCAAAACTTGAACCTGTGGTAGCTGGAATATCAGTTACCAACCTGTCATTAATAAAAAAAATAAAAAAGTTGATAATTAGTTATATATATATATATATATATAACAAGAAGAAATAGGAAAGAAAAAAAAGAGTAATTTTTAATATCATCCGACTTCGTATAAATATTTTTTGACTTTATTTGCAAATTTTGAAATTGAAAATGAAGTTGCATTTGGTTATATCATTTACAAATAATATTTAATTGCTTAAAAATACTTTTTTCTAAAAAGTATAATAGCCTATATATTCAATACATGAATTATAATTTAAATGATTAAACACTGATTTTTAAATGAAGTGGAAAAAAAAAGTCATAGCCAAGTAGATCCTATTTATACCAACTCTGAATTCCTAAGAAAGGCATATAAAAAATAAAGGGTAATGCTAAATTGTCAAAAAAATTGGTCAGAAATTTTTAAAAACTATAATATTTTTTTTATTTTAAAATAAACTAATCTTTTTTCCATTTTATAGTTTAAAAATATTAAAATTAAAAGAATAAAAATGTTTAAAAAGATAAAATATCATTCTGGCCAAAAAAATTTATCCAAAAGTAAAATCTTGTGCAGGAGGAACTCAAAGAATAAAAAGAGACAAAACTTTTAGTGGTAAAGGTGACAAAAACAGATAATCTTTTCATTCAATGGCATTCACTCACTCACCACTAGGGGTGGCAAATGGTTGAATTGGATCGGATTTAGGTGGATTGAATATGAATTAAGCAAAAATGATTTGGGTTACAATCAATCCAAATAGAATATGAGTAACTATGAATTTAGTCAAATATGATTTGGATAAAATGATTCTAACCCATTTAAAACCTCTTCATATTTCCTTGACTAAGTGAACTGGGACTTCATGACATCAATTTATCCCCTGGCCCGGGCACCCCCACCCCCTCCTCCCCATCTTCCACCAACTGATCCCTATTTATTTTTGTTTTCCAAAAACAAAAAAAAAATCTATTTTTTTTTTAAAAAATGTACCCCTCCCCGGGCACCCCCACCCCCTGGGTGCCCCCCCCATCTTCAACCAACTGATCCCTAAATTCTTTTTGTTTTACAAAAACAAAAAAGAAATCTGTTTTTTTAAAAAAATAAAAATTTACTCCCCCCCCACCGCCCCCCCCCCCCTCCACCAACCTATCCCTACTTCTTTTTGTTTTCCAAAAACAATTAAGTTTGAAAATTAATTGAATTTTGAAAATTAATATTTTTTTTTATTTTTTAGCATAATTAAGAATTTTGAGTGGAAATGAAAACTAAGTGATCTATTATGAGTCAATATGGATATCCATATTTTACCCATTTTGATCATATTTGTAGAGACTCTTAAAATAGCTTGAAGCCCATATTTACCCAATTAAAATATGAGTAATCCAAGTCATTAAATATAAATAAAATAGACTCATTTCATTAATATAGGTTGAAATTGCCACCCCTACTCACCACCTACTAGATGTTCACTTTACGAGACAAAAAAGATGTTGTCATTTAGCACACACCTTAACAAACCATAAGAGTAAAACTTCTTCCTCTGTTCCTATTTATATCACTATTTTATATTTTACATCTCTTAAGAAACCAATTAAGTTTACTATTGTGCTCTTAATTCGTATTTTCTTAAAGTCAAATTTTAAATTAGACTTTAATTAATTTATTTTGATTAATTAAATTGAATTAATTATTTAATTTTTTTATGTTTTTCAAATTCATACTTTCAAGGCTTACAACTCTCAAAGGTAAAATAGGAAGACTAGTGTTATTTATGTATTGATTTTTTGAAATGACAAATATTAAGGAACATCTATTTTTAGTAAGAATGACATATAAATAGGAAGGGAAGGAGTACAAATTAGATACTCTCTCTGCCCTAATTTGTCCATTTTTCCTTTATAGTTGTCCCTAATTACTTGTCCATTTTGACAAATCAAGAAAGGACAAATTTTTCTTACCTATTATACCCTCAATTAATTACTTTGAAAAAAGTAAAATTTTTTGAAAATCTTAAATTTTTAATTCATCCACTTCATAATTAATAGGGATAAAATGGTAAACTCACTGTGTTAATAATTATTTTTTTAATAAGTGTGTCAATTCAAAAGTAAACAAGTAATTAGGAACAGAGGGAGTAATGTTGAATGATATTTTTATAAGAAATAATTCAACAATTTTTCTTGATATTTATGTAAAATGAGTAAAAAATGAACGACATGGCTTGGCATGATTGTAGCACACAGGGAATAATCCGTACTAGCTTAAACGATTCTGGAACAAGATTTATTGGTCCACTACATTTTGTTCTGTTCCCTTTTTCCTTCACATTAAAAGACTACTGCAAGTTTTTATGGGGAATATTATAAGAGGGTCAGCGTAGCAGAATCTCACCCAATTTAGAAGGATATGACTAGGCCTGACAATCATATTTTTTAAATTAAAAAAAAAGTACAATTTTTTTTGCCCAAAAAATTTAGCTAGAATGATATTTTATTTATGTTATTTTTTTTTATTTTTTTTTTACTTTTTAAACTTTAATACCTTTTAATTTAAAAATAAAAAAAGATCAGTTTATTTTAAAATTAAAAAAATATCATAAATTTTTTTAATTTCTTGTCATTTAGCATTTCCCTAAAAAAAAATTATCCATCAACGAATCAAATATGAATATTATAAATAAATATCATTCCTTAAAAAGTAGATATTTAGATGGATACAACAAAATTTAAAAATATTCATATGATTGTCAGCGGAGAGTTTAAACAATTAAACTTATTTTGACTTTTACATTATGTCTCGTTTGACTATTTTTTAAGTCACGAATAATATAAATATACATTCATATTATTCATGGACGAACATATTTCTTATGAGTGTAAATATTAATAGGGCAAATATCTTATTCACTTTTATTTAACTTATTTTTGACCCACTCATGTGTTCCTCAACAACATGATGAAAAAAATAATTGTGATGGCATGGTTTATGGTTTATAAAATTCCATAGTGTAAAAGTTATTTATTCAATTAGGATAATTATAAGATAATAAAAATTGTAACGTACCTATTATGATTTGTGATGATATAAAAATAATATTTACATTATTAATTATACATTCATAGATAGATAGATAGATACAACTTTAATCCAATAATGAAATGTTTCTTAATCATATAACTAAGCTGTTTAAAGAATATAATTATGGGAATGTAAAAAGCAAAAAAGAAACAGATTAAAAGAAGAGAGAATAAGGAATTGGGAGGAAGGAGACGATACGGACCAGTGAAGGTATTCTCTCAGATTTGGATCACTCGGACTTGGAGCATCAGGGTCCACCATAACCTTTCGAAAAAGACAAATTTTATAATATATTTTGCTTGCTTATGAAACTCGTAGAAATAATAACTTATTTTCCAAAACAAAGCTATAGAGGTAAAAAGGATAAAAATTATATTACCAAAGTGAAAAAGGTACGTAGGTCATCTCCTCCAACTTCAACCCTTGGCTGGTTAACAAGTTGGGAAGGCCTAAGCTCACAGCCATTATTAACTTCTCTATCCCTATATATAACTCTTAGGCCAATAGTTCTTGTGAATGGGTCCAATACATCCCCTACGACACGACCAACAACGAGAGGATCGCGTTCTCTAGGCATGACGATGGTTCACGATAAACAAACAAAATAAAACTAGCTGTGGCTAACTTGTGTGTTAACACAACACAAGACTCTTAGCTATGCATGTTTCTTATATATCGGGCTATGCATGTTTTTACAAGTGCAGAGGTAGAGTGTGTATATATATATATATATATATGGTAGCACCTCTTGCTGTCATATCCTCCTAAAGAATCTAGTACCTGCCTTTTTTAATTACTTCTCTTTTCCCACCTTACAACCATAGGTTTTCTAGGAATTCTTCTAATCGAATCATGTCACATTTTCACATTAGAAATTCTTTTTTTTTTTTGTGGAAATTACTTCTACATAGCAATTGTGTTAAAATATTTTTGAAGATTTTACACAAATTCCATTGTGTTATCCCTACTTTTTTTCAAATTACAAAAATTTCTTAAATTTGGTGGAATCCGGATACATCCCAAAACGTCCCGATACATCGCGTTCTGGTTTCAGATACATGCCTCAACGTTCTGATACATCGCGTAAAGTGATGATTTGACCGATACATCACGTAAAGTAACATCCCGATACATCGCGTAAAGTGATGTATCCGACCGATACATCGCGTAAAGTGATGTATCTGACCGATACATCACGTTAAGTAGGGAATTTTGTAAAAAAATAAATTTAAATAGTAGGAAATTTTAGAGAATATAATAAAATAAGTTTTGTATTTAGATAATTTTTTCAATATTTTATAGGAGTAATTTTTTTGCTTGCTTATGAAAATCGTAAACTAATATAATTTATGAAAACAAGAAAAAATTATTATATTTTTCTCTTTCTACTTTTAGTATTAAATAACAACGTAAACTAATAGTAATAGTTCCAAAACATTACTAATGAGATTAGATTCTATTCTCAGACAAAAGGTTCATATCAAATGTTTCGAAGAAGGGGATAGAAACTCAAAGTATTTCCATTGCCTCCTTAGAAACAATAGAAGCAAGCTTTAGATAAAAAAGATCAAGAATAATAGAGGAAAATGGGTTCAAAATGAGGAGAAAATTGCTAACGTTGTCGTCAAACACTTTGAGACTCTTTTTAATCTCCCTAAGCCAGTCCTAGACCACAACATCCTGGAGTGCATTCCCAGAGTTATAACTGATTTGGATAACACTAATTTATCTAAATTTCCCTTGCAGGAGGAGATCAAGGAAGCTGTCTTTAGCCTTAGTGCAGATAGTACAGCAGGACCAGATGGTTTCAATGGCTTCTTTTTTTAAAGTTATTGGAATATCGTAAAACAGGATATTACTGACTTTGTCATTGAATTTTTTCAAGGAAAAAAACTCACCAAATTATTTTCTCATACTTGCCTAGCTCTAATTCCAAAGACTAGCACTCCTGATTGTTTTGCTCAGTTCAGACCCATTACTTTATCTAACTTTTCTAATAAGATTATTTCAAAAAATTTGACTTCAAGACTCAACCCTCTTCTGCCTAACCTTATTTCTGAAAATCAATCAGGTTTTGTAAAAGACAGGTTAATCACTGAAAATGTCCTCTTGGCTCAAGAAATCATCCAATCTATTTCTCATCCTAACAAGGGTGGTAACATATATAGTCATAAAATTGGATATGGCCAAAGCTTATGATAGAATGTCTTGGAACTTTGTTACATCAATTCTTAGGAAATTTGGCTTTTCTGAAAATTGGATCAACTTGATTTTGAACCTTGTTTCAGGTGTTTTGTATTCAATCATTATAAATGGCTCAAGGACAGGTTTCTTCACTTCATCTCAGGGACTTAAACAGGGAGACCCTTTATCTCCATCTTTATTTATTCTAGCTGCTGAAGTACTTACTAGATTTCTGAATAATGTGCTTCAAAATGATAATTTTACCCCTTTTTCTGTGTCTAAAAGAGATTAACCATTTGGTTTATGCAGATGATATAGTAATATTCAGCAGTGGAAGAACTAAATCTATCAAACTTGTGATGAAGCAAATAAAGAAGTATGAACTTAGCTCAGGACAAAAGGTGAATAGTGAGAAAAGCTTCTTTCTTACAGCTCCTAAAGCCACTGCCACCAGGATTAACAAGATGAGGAACAGTTTAGGGTTTATGGATAAGAAGTTTCCATTTACTTATCTTGGATGTCCTATATATGTTGGAAGAAAAAAAATCGAGTACTTTGACATTATGGTAAGCAAGGTAATCAAAAGATTAGGAGGTTGGCAAGGGAAAATATTGTCTTATGGAGGGAAGAAATTTCTAATCAAGCATGTGCTCCAAGCACTCCCAACATACACTCTCGCAGCTCTTAATCCTCCTAAAGCAATTTTCAAACTTTTGGAAAGACACTTTGCAAATTTATTTTGGGGAGTGCACCAAGGTCAAAAAAAGTATCACTGAAGCTCATGGAGAAACCTATGTTATCTCGAAGCAGAGAGTGGAATTGGCATCAGGAGTATGGAGGATCAAAGCATGGTTTTAGCTACAAAAAGGTGGTGGAAATTCAGATCTATTCCTTCTCTTTGGGCCACCTTCCTAAAAAATAAATATTGTATCACTACTAAAAAATGGGACTCAGGTAACTCTCATCAATGGAAAATGATGACTCAAGTAAGAAGTCAGGCAGAAGAACATATGATTTGGCAGATCGACTGGGGATCAAGTAGCTTCTGATGGGATAATTGGAGCGGTAAAGATCCTCTTGCTATGCTTTACCCTGATAGTAGAAAAAACATAAATACCTTAGTCAATCGCTTCTTACTTGATGGTACTTGGAATATCCATAAACTAAGAGATACTTTATCTGAACATATGGTGCAACACATTATTACCATTGGAATTGGTAACAAAAATAAAAAGGATCAAGTTTTTTGGAACTTGAATACTAATGGTAAATACTCAAACAAGTCTTCCTGGGAAATGCTTAGAACCAAGAGACCTCAGAATCAGTTTTTAGCAAAAATGTGGAGTTCTAACATTCCCTTTAAAATCTCCTTTCTCACTTGGAGACTATGGCAAGGTAAACTTCCTTTTGATGATTTTTTTGCAAGATTTAGTGCTAACAGGGACACCAATTGTAATTGCTGCTTGGTCCCAGTAGTAGAAAATATGTTTCATGTTTTTGTTACAGGTGAAGCTGCTCAACTTATTTGGAAACATTTTGGAAGGCCACTAGGCATTCGTGCTCACCGAGGAACTATTAGACACTTGATTGATATTTGGTGGAATCAAAAGACCACAAATGAAATTCACAAGATGATTATCACGATTGTCCCATTGTTTATATGTTGGGAAATTTGGAAACAAAATTGCGAGTGCACATACGGAGAAAGAAAGAAGTTCATATTATATCCTGTATTCAGATTAGCAAACCAGAAATAATAAAAGATGAAAAGAAAAACACAAAGAACTATCCGAGTCCACAGAACCCACTGTGTGTCCTTAAGAAATTTAATCCCCTCAAGTACCCGAGGTTGCAGATTAATTCCTCCCGAGATAAAATAGATTAACCATTAAAGAAGTAGCGGTACCTCAAACTTCGATAATTTCAACGAACTCAAAATGACAGCAACGAATCACACACACAGACACGATCGATTGATTTTGTTTTGTAAGAAATGTATGCAAAAAGAAGGAAAGAATTCGATGCAAAACAATGAGAGAAAACCTCTCTATTTATAGCCAACAAAGGATAAAGGTCACAACCCTTTGGAAAGAAGACAACCTTTCAGAAAGGTCACAACACTTTGGAAAAGACATAACCTTTCAAACGGTCACAATCCTTTAGAAAGGACACAACCTTTCATAAAGTTCACAACCTTTTGGCATAGTCACAACTCTTCAGGAGAGTTACAACCCTTCATTTCCTGTTCACACCTTTAAAACCCAACAATCCCCCACATGAATAGGGAATGACTATTGTTAAAATATATGCATGAAAAACTATGTGATTCGTAATTAAGGATTGATTGCCTCTGGATAAGTGAGTTTCCCTTTGAACTTTCCGTAGTGAACATATATCGGATATACTCGGTCAATCGGTAGATTTGATATCTTTGAACCATCGAGCTTTGATGTATACCTAGACAACATAAGTCACACATTCAACCCTTGAACTGTTTTTGGTTCTCATTGTTTTGTTCGTTTCAGCCATGAACACGTCTCGGTTTATAAGTGTGTAGAGAACTAGCCTTACCGGATTTTCCTTGAAGCGGCTTACACTTCACACTTACATAGGTGATTTCTAAATGTGTTATCCCGTAGATACACCATTTGATATACCATGTATCAAACTTAGAAATCATTAAAAAGTCCTTATCACTTTATCCTTGTTACTGAACATTGTCTTATCATGAGAATGGACCATAAAAATATTTTGACAATATTGAACCGTCATCAATGACTTTGTTTGATCTCCTTGAACCTAGATCTTGGGATCTCCAGTCTTCTAGGTAGAGTTACCGCCACAATGACTTGTTATTGGCCATAGTCCCATTCCCTTTGATAATCTATCAACTCCCTCTCTAGTTAGGCCTTTTATAAGTGGATCCGACACATTATCCTTTGACTTTACATAGTCAATTATGATAATTCCACTAGAGAGTAGTTCTCTAACGATATTATGTCTACGTCATATATGATGAGACTTTCCGTTATGCATCATGCTCCATGCCCTACCTATTGCAAATTAACTCTCACTGTGTATGCATACTGGAGCTAAAAGGTTTGGGCCAAAAGTCTTTCAAGAAATTTTGGAGTCATTCAACTTCTTTACCGGCCTTATCTAGAGTGATAAACTTAGATTTCATAGTAGAGCGAGCGATACATCTCTGTTTGGAAGATTCCAAGAGACTACTCCTCCACCAAGAGTAAATATATATCCATTCGTGGATTTTACTTCATTTGACCTGGTGATTCAATTTGCATCACTATATTCTTCCAATACTGTTGAATATTAGTTATAATGCAAAGCAATAGTTTTTTAAGTATGTTTTAAATACTCCAAAACTCTTTTCATTGTCATCCAATGAGTTTGATTG